TCCCCCAATATGAAAATGGTGTAAGTTACAGGAGTAAAATTTATGAAGGCATATATAAACTCAGAAAATGAGCTTTTCCTCTGACTGAGCAATGTCTTTGATCATTAATGGCTACCAGCTTCATGGTTTATTCACAGAAAATGTTTACACATTTTAAAATTCAGTAAAATGTAAAATTCAGCTCCTCAGGTGCAACAGCCACAGATCAAGTGTTTAACCGCTCCATTTGGCTCGTGGCCACTGTACTGAACAGTGTGGAAAAAGATCATTTCCTTCACTGCACAGAGTTCCACTGGACAGCACTGGGTCTACGTGATCGAAGATGAAAAACAAGCCAAATGCCCACGCAGAGGTACCATCAGGTTTGCGAAACAGTCGAAACATCTGAGGATTCCTCTTGTGATGCAGAGAAAACAAGTCTGTGCTATAAGCCATTGCTTGAATAAAGAGAAGAAGATGCAATAAGACTGAGCTCAACTGTACATTTCAGGGGATGGAGGTGTCGGTGGGAAGAAACCTGTTAGATTCGAGTACGTTCCTGTTTTATAGCTTCTTCCAGATGGTATCTGAGGCAGAGACAAGAAACTAGCCTAGGGTCTCTTTCTCACTCTGCACACTCCTCCAACAATCTTGCCCACACGTCTATAAGCTGGTAATATGAAAATGTCCATTTCCAACACAGATGGAACTCCTGCCTCCACATCCGTGGATCCAGCTCCCTTTACTCCATATCTCCCTCCTTGGACTGTTTCGAAAGTGACTCATAACGTATCCAAACATGGATTATCATTTGCTGTCTCACCGTCCCCTCTAAAGAATTTGGCTGGCCTTTGTCCCTGGTTCTTGGGAGGTAGCCAATAAATCCTTGAATTTCCCAAGTGATAACAGCATCTTTGTCATTCACAGTTGGTTCCTCAGGACCACCTCTGATAGCGTGTTCTAAGGAGATGACTCAGGATGGGGGCTGGCCAAGCCAGAAAGACCAGAAATGTGTGATCAGAGGGTTGGGGCTTGGAGCCAGCTGACACCGACCCAACCTCTGGGGAGGAGAGGGAGCTGGAGATTGAATTCAACATTGTGGCCAAATGGTTCAATCAATCACACCTACATAATAAAACTCCAGTAAAAACTCTGGACACCAGAGCCCAGGTGAGCTTTCTTGGTTGACAATAGTCAACACACTGTCATACACTGACGTGCCAGGAGAACAACATGTCCTGACTCCACAAGGAAAGGACAATGGTAAGTCTGAATTTGGGGACCTCCCCCCACCGCCGACTTTCAATGAGTCTCTGCCTTTCACTGATTCTGATTTGTATCCCATTGTTGTATTAAAGCTATCATCATACGTGTAACGCTTTCCTGAGTTCTGTGAGTCATTCTAGTGAATTACTGAACCTGAGGGGATAGTGGGTATCCCAAAATTTATAGCCTGCTTATGGTCAGAAGTCAGGTGGCCTGAGGATCCCCAAACTTGTGACTGGTATCTGAAGTGAGGGCGGTGTTGTAGTGGGCTGTGCCCTTAGCCTGTCAAGTCTGGCTTAACTCTGGGTAGCTGGTGTCAGAAGTTACTCCACTGCCCAGACCTGTTCCTCCCAACAGGGTTCAGCATCACAGTGAATGGTATGTCCATCCAACTATTCAGCTGCTAATGGGAGAAACTAGATCACCACTGATGATTCCTTCCTCCCAATCACCATCCACACAAATGATGAATCGATAGATCCTTCTAAATCCACCTTCTAATAAACTCTGAGTTCATCCACTTCTCTCCAGCATGATCTGGTCTTTTCCTCTCTGGTCCTGTTCTCCTTGTGCTCCTAGAGTTCTGGCCACACGTGCCTTCTCTCTGATACTCGGGCTGGACGAGTTCTGTCCTACCTTGCGGCTTTTCCGGTTGTTGTTCCCTCTGCTTAGGACGTTTTCACAGATCTTAGCTTGGCTGTTCTTCTTAGGATTTAAGTGTTGATGTATGTCTGGTCTTCAAAATGGTCTGCTTTCCCTCCCCATAACTATGTCACCACCCTGTTTGGTTTCTACCATAGGACTTATTTCTTGTTGGTTCCTGTTTCTTCCCTCCTCTGAACAGAATTCAAAGGCTGTTTTCTCAGGGCCTAGATCTGTGTCTGGTGCACAGATGACGTGCGTTTACTGACATCCAGGTATTACCGAATCCACTGAATTGGATTTTCTTGGTGGTTGCCTCTTCCCGCAGTGCTGTCCTCCTCAGGTCCACTCTCCACGCTGCAGCCTGAGCCATCTTTCTAGCACGCCAAGACAATGACACTGCTGTACCTTCATGACCTCTGTTTATCATCCCTGTACATTCTCTCTTCCCATCTGTTCTCCAGTCAGGCTGACTACTGCCAACACCTTCAACGCTCTCAACGTTCTTGCCTCTCAAAGTTCCTGCACATGTCCCTTCCCTATGACATTGACTTCTCCTCCCCAATTTGACTGGTTAACCTTTCTCGTCCTTCAGGTCTCCTTAACCATCACTTCTTCCAGAAAACCTTCCCTGAGCGTCCAAAATTGGGTTAGGCTACCCCTCCTCTGTGCTCCCGCAATGTCTTTCCCCAGCAAGGTATTGATTTGGGATGGGCTGTAATGTCTGCCAACTTGCTTGTACCCTCAAGGGTGTGAACTCCCTGCAGGCAGGGGCCTTGTTGCAGTTGGAGGTATCGCTACAACTGAACGCAGTCCCTGCAGGTATACTATAGGTGCTTAATATGTATTTACTGGATCAGTTTATTACACTGGAAAACCTGCTGGCAAATTCATTAGTCTCTGTTATTCTTTCCATGTTCCCCATAGTGTTTCAATAAATTCTACCCACAGAAGGGGTGCTCCATAAACACTAGGTAAAAGTATAATGACTTCTTTAACCTGGTGAGAATAAAAAGGAAAATCAAGGGTGCTCAGGTTTCTTGATGATGGGGTGTATTTATTTAAGGTTACTAGCAAGGCCACCTAAAAACTTTAAAGAGCTAAAATTACAATTTGAAATTAAGCCATGTGACCTCTTTTAGCATCTTCTCCTTACTTACTACACAGTTACTAACATTTAATTTTAGCTATATGCCCACACAGGGATATTTCAGTCTTTATTCAAAATGTTGGTGTTGATAAATAAGATTGTTTAGTTATAGGGAATCTGTTTATAAGCACTCTATTAAAGAGATATAGGCGAGGGACGCCTGGGTGGCTCAGTTGGTTAAGAGTCTAACTCTTGATTTCGGCTTAGGCTTTGAGCATCGAATGTGCTTCGGATTCTCTCTCTCTCTCTCTCTCTCTCTCTCTCTCTCTCTCTCTCCCCCCCTCTGCCTCTCCCTGGCTAGCGCATGCTCTCTCTCTTAAAATAAATAAATAAACATTAAAAAAAAACAAATAAAAAAAATAAAGAGATATAGGTGAGTGAAATTTTTCTTGACAAGAAAAACTACCCACTGTTCCTGAAAGATAAGGATTATTCTTTGTACCATGATATTTTTGTATAAAAATATATACATAGATACATGCTACACCTATAGAGTAAGAAGGACAGGTTTTTAAAATAAACATACTATAAGTTATCTGTATAAATTAAATTTGTCATTCAAAGTAGTTCTCTTTGTTTTTGGTCTTTTTTTTAAATTTTTTAGTATTTATTTTGAGCGAGAGAGAGACAGAACATGAGCAGGGGAGGGGCAGAGAGAGAGGGAGACACAGAATCCGAAGCAGGTTCCAGGATCCGAGCCATCAGCACAGAGCCTGACATGGGGCCCGAACCCATGAGTGAGATCATGACCTGAGCCGAAGTCAGATGCTCAAGTGACTGAGCCACCCAGGCGCCCCTAAAGTAGTCCCCTTTGGAGACTCATTTCAGTAATGGAACCAAAGTTCAAAATATTTTGGAAATTGAGAACCGTTTTACTTTTTTTATTAAAATTTTTTGTAACGTTTATTTATCTTGAGAGAGAGAGAGAGAGAGCGCGCGTGCGCTCATGTGTATGAGCAGGGGAGGGGCAGAGAGAGAGAGAGAATCCCAAGTAGACTCTATGCTGTCAGTGCAAAGCCTGAGACAGAAAACGATTTCATGACCTGAGCCGAAATCAAGAGTCAGATGCTTAACTGACTGAGCCACCCAGGTACCCCGAGAACTGTTTTAGATTCTGCATTGATTCTTTTGAATATTCACCTATAAATATTTGACCTTTGATAGTGAATTTTACCTTTATAACAACTAGTCATTAGAAGCCACAGTAGTAAACAGGGTCAAAGATGATGACGCTTGGGATAAAAAAACAAAGTATATTTGGATTGAAAACCCCTGGTGATATAAAAGTTTCCTTGCTTAAGTGATATGCTTGTTTTGAAAACAATGGCAAATTAAAAGACATCTAGAAATGTTTAAAAAGAGAAAAAAAGAGAACAAGGAAATTGGTGTTTAAGAAGTCACAGACCCTCCTGGGAATGTGATGAAAATAATGGTTCCCCGACCCTCTAACCACTGCATGTACAATTAGAAAGGTAGGAACACACTGAGGTCATCTATGGAGCCAGATTAACACTCCATGGTTTAGAGGACTGGCTTTTGATTTTTTTACTGTGCCCAACAGAAAAAAATATATATATACTGTGACCCAGCTTGTACATACATACATATAATTAACAGTTACACAAACAATTCTCAACCCTAGTGTATATGATAATATCCTCTTGCATCTTATTTTAATTACGAACATTACTCATGATTTACTGCACCAATTTCACAACGTACAGTGGGAAAATACTGGTTTAGAGTTACTGTCCGATAACTAGAGCAAGTTCATGAAATGAGAAAACTCACTGATGACAAACATTCTGATGTTATTTTAAATAACAAAGTCTACGCTATAGGCAAACCTTTTAAGAGGTTAGATTCTTTACAGCAAAGCAGCATTATCTTGGTCCTTCATCTACACACTTAACTACTGGAGATACTGATGAGTAAATCATACAACAGTAATAGGATGCCATACCTTAATATTAGAAAACCATAAGTCGTTTTCATGTAAAGTGGCCAGGTAGACAGATGTAAGAAGTCCAATGCAAAGGGCAATGGTTCCACCAACCATAAATGACAGAAGCTTCCATAATCTTCTACTGGTACCACCTTTTAGAAAAAATAAATAACTAAGTCAATAAACAACGTAGAATTTAATAGTGCCACTTCAGACTATCAAGTATGCTAAGTTCCAACTGCCTGTCACTGGCAAAGCTTCTATTCCCAGGACACAGTTAGGAACTCCTTTCTGTGACTCCGGAGACCTGTTTTCATACTTCATTACAGTTTTTACCCGACGGTATCTAATTGCTCACTTGTCCATTTTGGCAGAAATCGTGAGCTTATTCATTACCTTAGTTATCTTAGTACCTACAGTCTGTGTTTGGAATAGTTTAGTAACTGTAGTTCAACTGTGAAGTTTGTCAAATGGAGGAGTTAAGTGGGGTGCAGGTCTAGGATATAGAAAATCTTTCAGATGATCTATGTATAATTTGTGATTTATTCATTAAAAGCTACCAAAAAGCTTGACTACTTAAAATTCAACAACCCATCGGGAGAAAAACATCCAAGTTAAAGGACACAAACTAGGAAAAAAATATTCATGGCACGTATAAGAAAGCTTAAGTATCCTCAATATGGGATGAACACCTTCAGGATTAAAAAACTAAATATTTCAGTTGGAAAGAGATTACAGAGACAAACAGGCAATGCACAGAAAAAAAAAAAAGGGCCAACAGACAGACAAAAAATATTCACATTCATTAGTATTAAAGAAATGCAAATCAAAACAATGGGCTACAATTTTTTAGATGCTGGTCAATTTGACAGCTTAAAAATGTTAACGCTGTTTTAACAAGGGTACAAAATGAGTAGTTTTCAAACACTGCTAGTAGGAGAATAACGTGGCAGCTCTCTGGAACACGAGAGGGCAGGAAGTTGGAAAAGCTACCCAAACGAGCATACCATTGACCAGCAATTCCAAATCTTGGCATATAACCCCAAATAAAGTTTAAACAAACATTTGGCCACAAGAACATTTACTCTAGTTCTGTTGGCATAAGTGAAAGGTTTAAAACCACTCATTCAACCAGGAATTCTTAAATCAGTTATGCTATAGCCACACAGCCACTACACCAGTAACATTTTTAAAACACATTGACTGACTTGTGACATGACTGGAACATAATAAAAGAAATGTAGCAAATTACAAAACAGCCAGGATCCCAACGTTGTAAAACCACGTGACTGCTTGAAGGTGTGCCTAGGCAAGAACACCATTTCCACAGCAACATCAAGTTTCATGGATGACAGTCTCAGGATGGGTTTGTTTGTGGGAATACTTTCTTTCCTTTTTTTTTATTTTTTTGCTTTTCTTTAGTTTTCAGGGTTTTTTTTTCTGACATGAATAAATATTGCCTCAGTAAAATGAAGAATCCTCAAAGTTATGTTTTAATTTAAAAAAAAAAAGCAAACTTGGGAGCACCTGGGTGGCACAGTTGGTTAAGTGTCTGACTCTTGATTTCGGCTCAGGTCATGATCTCACGGTTCATGGGACCGAGGCCCATGTCAGGCTCTACGCTGACAGTGCAGAGAATGCTTGAGATTCTCTCTTTCAAAATAAATAAGTGTATAAAAATAAAAAGGCAAACGTGAAGTTACACTGTGTAAGTCTTCAGAAAGTACTCTATCTTGTCCAAAACTGCTTATTTATTGGATGGTTGAATGGTTTGACTTCTCAGTACAGATTTATTTTATAAAACTGCTCCCCCCAAATTACTAGCTCTGGCTGATAAGAATTAACATGGCTGAGTTAATATGAATTCTGTCAGATATCCAAAATGGTGAAGAGACAAGGAATTTTTCATGCTTATTTTTAAAAATCCTTGACCATGCTTAGTTAAGAAAGCAACTCTGGACTGGGGAAGTTCATAATTAAGGTCATTTGATGTACACTTAGCAAGAATCTTCAGCATTACGTAAACAACTTAACCAAGTTCTGACCACTGCTCCCTCACAAACCAAAGGAGAAAATGTCAGGAATTCAAACAAGGAATAAAAAAATGTTTGATTCATCTTTCAATACCTTAACGAAATGAGAAAGTCACCCAAGCTAATGCTGTCTAGAGTGAACAGCATACACAAACCAGAAAAATTAGAAACATACTAAAATCTGAAGCATGGGGGAAAGCATTACTTTAGAAAGTCAAAGATTGGCAAAACAGAACCCACTGCACAGACAGCTGACAAACAAGGGGTTCCAATCAGAGCTCTGTGACCTTTTATCTGGTCACAACTGTGAAACCAGGATCATCAAACTGCAGTCAAATCATCTGTCAAACTAAAACATCAGGGTATTAGAACAAGTTTCCTCAAATGTTAGGGCTCACCAAATCTGTACCCTATTGGAGAGTGATATTTTAATATTGAAGAAATAATAGCACTCCAAAATGCTGCTTTAATTAAGTCACCTACCAGATGGCAATTTATTTTCCAACTTCACATTTGCTTCTTGCGCTGCATAATCCTCAGGAACTTCCGTGGGTTTTACTCCTTTTCTTTGCCTGATGGATATCATGGTGTCAAAGACTTACGTGCATTGTTCTTCCAACCACTCCTACAAACAACATAAAAGTAAACCGCCCATCCGTACGCCAGTACCGTCTCCCCAACACACGCTTTGCTCCTCTGTGACTTGGAGCCTTGTCCCTGGCTTAGCATGCCCTCCCCACTTTCCCATCAAATCTTTACCAGCCTTCAAAGCTACTGTCAAGGCACAACGCAAATATTTACTTAAAACCTATTATTAAGAGTTAAGAATACAGGTAAGCATCCCAGACAAGCCCCTGCCCTTCCTCCAAGAAACCTTCCTCTCTCGGTTGTGCCAGCCACTGCTGATCTTTCTCCATCCTGAGCCACTGCAGTTACCACGCAATTGGTCACATAATTATGCAGTTTTATATTATGTTCCACAGTTCCATACTATTTGGTAGTAAATCTGTTGATAGCCTGATTCTGAAGAAGTGAAATACTGTTTCGTCTTAGGTACCTGAATTTTAATACCGACGTTCTTTAAAACAATTCACACTGGAAACTTTACGAATATGCCTGAGTGGTGATGGCAGCGGGGGTGTGCCAATCAGGGCAGCTGCTATCCCAGGGAGCAACAGTGGGAGTAAAGGCAGGGTGCAGGAGCCTGGTTTGGAAGCAGTGAGTGGGAGGCGAGGGAGTGGTGGCAGTGAGTAAGCTGGCGACGGTCCCCAGGAACATCTTGCTTCACTCCTCTGAATAATGAACAGCGTTTTACTAATTACTATTAAATATGACCAGTTACCGGACACGATTGTTTGGGCAGTTTATTAATAACCAACTTGCTCTAGAGAAAGAACAATTCAACCAACCAACATTATACAATTTATTCATTCATTCATAAAAAAAAAAAAAAAATGTGAGACACAAAAACAGTTAAGTACAAGCACCGAAAATGAATCTGGAGCAGCGAGGCAGGAAAAAGGAGTGTTAGGCAAAGCCGTACTGCATTCATTAGATGGACTTATCCCCCAACTGGATAACTTGGATTCTTAGCCAAGAATCACGTCCTCCTAAGGGCTCGGGAAGGAGCTGTAATATCCCACATCGGATACACTCTAACAAGTCAGGACAGAAGGGCAACAAACATTTCCGCGCCAACTCTGTGTCGGGCAATGTGACAATCGCACCAACTGGGGAAACAAAAGTTTCCCCATAATGAAAGGGAATGCCATCTTCGACGTTGGAAAAGGGAAGTGAGAGCGATGCTCGTCCTCTACTCGGAAGGACCAGCACGCACAGAGCGACAGGGCACGACACTCAGCTTCCCGCCGCACCCCAGCCTCACAGCGCCGAGTGTCCCCACCGGACACCGAGGGGCCGGCAGCGGCCGCCCAAGTTCAGACACTTGCTCCAGCTCGGCAGAGCCGCGCGGCCGCGGAGGCCAGCACCAACCAGGCCCTCCCTCCGCCCGCGCGGCAGGAGCCCGAAGTGGCCCGCGAGCGCCGCCCCGCCCCGCCCTCGGCAAACTTCCTCACTCCCGACCTGCCGCCCCCCGCCCCGCAGTTCGAGCGGACCCGCGAGCGCCGCGTCCCCCACCCTGGCGCCCCAGGGCGCCGCGGGGCCCGGGCCGCGCCCCCCGACTGCACGACGCGGCGGGGCGACCGGCAGGCTCCCGGTCGTTGCGGCTGATTCGGCGAAACATCGCAACGCAGGGCGCAGCCCGACCAGCCGCCGAAGCCTCGCACCCGCGCGTCCCCTCGCTCCGCCCGCGGCCCGACACGCAGTCACAGACCTGCGGCCTCAGCCGTCCTGGCGCGCAGCTCCGGGCGGGGAAAGAGGCCGGCCGGCCGGGGGTGCCGAGGGCCGCGCAACCGCCCGCGACGCACCGTGAGGACAGGGAGGACCAAGCAGCGGCCACCGTGCAGCGACGGAGCTTTGCGCGACACCAGAGAAATGGGGGACTGGGGGGCGTCCGCGGCCCCGAGGAAGGGGCGCGCCAGGGGAGGCCGGGCCGCCAAGGTGGGCGCGCCCATAGGTCCCGGGAGCCGTCCGTCAGCCTGTCCCCGCCCTCTCCAGGGCGCCCAGTCTCGTGCAACTGGCGGTCGAAGGAAGCGGCACACTTCCGCTCGCCCCGTTCGCCCCGTTCGCCCCGTCCGCCCCGCCCGCCCCGCGTCCAGCCTCTGCGTGCCCCGAGCACACAGACCCCTGACCAGCGCGGCGCTGCCGCGAGCGTACGCGGCTGCCCTCCTCAGCCGCGGGGACGCCCGCCAGCCCCAGGGCAGAGCGAGTGGTGGCCACCCGGGGGAGGAGGGGCCCGTCTCCGAGGAAGGGTCGCCTCAGGTGTGCTTGCAAGAGACCGCGAAACCTTTTGCTTGTTCCCGTAGCTTCCTGCTCCCGGGTGCTGGTGGATGCGGGGGCCTCGGTGAAGGGTCTTGCGGACTGAAGCAGTTGACCGCTCGGGCCTCTCCCGCCTCCCCAGGTCTCCTGTGGCGCCCTGTTTGCAGGTCTTGGCAGACCCCCAGCACCCAGTGGCCGCCGGTGTGTGCTTGGAAGGCGCTTCCACTGCGGTAGAGAGCACCCGCAGAGACACTTTGGCCTCCCCGGAGACTCCCCACCCCTACCGTTGGGGTGGGGGCGGCGCGCCCCTTCCTTAATCTTGCCTTCAAGGATATGCTTCTCTTGGTCTCCAGGACTAGAGTGAAGCCTTTTTTGAGGGCAGGTACTGTGCTTTTACCTGGGTATCTTTTCTTTTTATTTTTTTATTCTTTTTTTTTTTTTTTTTAATTTTGGTTATTTATTTATTTTGAGAGAGAGCATGAGCAGGGGAGGGGCAGAGAAAGAGAGAGAGAATCCCAAGCAGGCCCTGTAGTGTCGGCTTAGAGCCTGACGCTGGGCTCGAACTCACGAAGCATGAGACCTTGACCTGAGCGGAAGTGGGACCTTTCACAGACTGAGCCACCCACGCGCCCCTACCTGGCTACGTTTCTTAATCACACTGTATAGAAGGGTAGATGAAGCCTTCTGTCAGCAGATGCCCAGGCCACATGTTTAATTGATTTTTGTTAAGGAATGGTCGTCTGGGTCCTCCACCTGTGAAAAGACTGTCCATCTGTCTAATTCCAACACGAAATTATTTTATCCAGGAAGTCAGTCACCCCTGTTGGGTATTTTCTCCTCCTCGGTGCGTCTGGTGCTATTAATACCAAACACACATTCTGTGCGAATGGATTGAGGTATCTGCTGGGTGGCTTTAAGAAAAATAAGTGTCAGCTGTTTTTTCAGATGGCATTTGTCACGTTTTAACTTGATTGCTGGTGTCTTTGATGTTCCAGACTTGAGAGCAGAGCTTGTATTTGTAATCCATCTTTTTCGCGTTTAGATGCCTTCCATAAAATACTTTTGGGTGCTTAAAAAATACATATGTGACCTGATTCCTCCTTAAATAGAATTTCCCCCCCTCTTACTGTATATGGGGTTTTTTCCAAGATTGTGTATTTCTAAAATTGTGTGCTCTGGGGAAGAATGTGTCTGTGGTGCAGTGTATGTCCCTTGAGTAAAGGAAACAGTCCTCAATAACAGCTCTTTGTTTTAGTATTAATGAAATGGTTTTTCCAGCAAGATAAAGCTTTGAGACTTACTTTTAAAAAGTATCTACTGCTGAGGGTTAAGTCTTCAGAATTAATAAATCAGTTAAGAATGAGTCCTGGGGTGCCTGAGTGGCTTAGTCAGGTAAGCGTCCAACTTCAGCTCAGGTCATGATCTCAAAGTTTATGAGTTGGAGTCCCGCATTGGGCTCTCTATTGACAGCATAGAGCCTGCTTTGGATCCTCTGTCTTCCTCTCTCTGCCCCTCCCCTGCTTGTGCACGCGTCTGCGCTGTCAAAAATAAACATTAAAAAATATTTAAAAAAAAAATGGATGAGTACTTAGCTTTGATACAGTAACCATGGGGGTGATGGGTAACTAGCAGGCCCTGCCCTCAATGAGCTCTGGTCATGGACTGACTCCAGTGGTGTTCAAGAATACTTCTTGTTTGCATTATGTCTTGAAATCCATATGGATTTCTCCCTGTTGTGGCCCGCAGTAGTTAAGCTGTGGTCTTGTAGAAGTGTGCAATTCAAACTGTGGTCTTGGGGACCTGTGGCATCATTGTCACCATCTCCAGGGAGGTTGTTGGAAATGCAGATTATCAGATCCTGCCCCAGACCCACTGAATCATAATCTGTAGGGATGGGGTCCAATAATCTGTTTTAAAATGTTCTCCGTGTGAGTCTGTGCTGAGTAAAGTTTGAAAGCCACAGCAGAACCTCTCTATTCAAAATGTTTGTGGGCCAGGGGTATCAGTATCGCCGGGGACTTTCTTAGAAACACAGGCTCTCAGGCCCTCCCCTACTGAGACCTACTGAGCCAGAATCTGCATTTTACTATAGTCCCCAGGTTATTTGTACATCACACTTGGAGAAGCACCACACCAGAAGTCATCGATGCTATTGACGTCCTTCCTATAAAAGTACTCCACCTTGGGACCGAGGGAGAGCACTCTTTTTCCTATCTGATATACAATGTTCTGTTTTAAATTGCTTGGCTTAGTGGTGTGACCACTGTTGATCACGGCGGTATCTTCTGTGACAGTAGACTCCTGGTGTTCCTATTAACCTTTCTGGCGTTCCTTTTCAGTCTCTTGTAAACTCTTCCTTTTCAAAGCAACGGTTCTCTGGTTCATGGCTCTATTGTCCACTAATGTCCTGATGGCTCATACGTTTTTATGTCCAGGCATATATTCCCTGACCTCCAGGTCCCATGTGGCCACTGACTATTCAACGTTTCCATGTGTGTAAGCATCTCAAACTCATTAAAAACTTTTTCTAATCCCCAACCTGCTCTTCATCCCATGTGCCCCATTCACCTAATTGCTCAAGTCACAACCCCAGGAGCCAAACGTGGTTCCTTCCTGTTGTGTAATCCACGTATCTAAACATGGAGTCCTATTGGACTTTTTCCTAATATCTCAGAAGCTCCCTGATTTTTCTCCCCCTCTATTGCCATCCCCCCTAATCCAAGTTACCATTCCTTGTCAGGATCACTTTAATGGCCTCCTAACTGATGGCCTGACCTCCATCCCTGCCCCCTGTCCTTGTCTATTCATTCCACCCTCCATGTAATAACCAGAGCGATCTTACCGGCTTCATATAAAAATCAAGCTCCTTAACACAGCTTGGAATTACTGCCACGAATCGGCCTCCATTTATCTCTCCAGCCTCATCTCACTTCCCATTCATAAATTTCTGTTGGAGGTTTTGCAAGTGTCTCCCTGCACTCTCTCTGACCTGACTAACATGCCAGTCAGTCTTCAAATTTCCCAGTTTCAGCCGTAGCCCCTCTTGGATCGGTCACTTAGGGGCCCCCAGCCACCACGTTGTGAGGACATTCAGCCAGTGGAGAAGGCCACTTGGGCAGCAACCGATCTCCGGCCAACAACCAGCACCCCTTTGCCAGCCATGTGAGTGAGCCACCTTAGAGGAAGGGTCTGCCAGCTCCAGGGCAACCTTCAGACACTGCAGCCTCATGAGAGGTCCCGAGCCAGAAATGCCCACCTGCCACTCCCAAATATCTGACATGGAAATAACAGGAAAAGAAATGTTTACTGTTTTAAGCCATTCAGTTTTGGGGTAATTTTGTTACACAATGATAGGTGAACAATCCCGTAATATTCTTCTGTCGGGGTTGGGGGGAGGTGCCTGGGTCGCTCCGTTGCTAAAGTGTCCAACTCGATTTTGGCTCAGGTCATGATTTCACGGGCATAGGATCAAGCCCTGAGTTAGGCTCCGTGCTGACAGTGTGGAACCTGCTTGGGATTCTCTCTCTCTCTCTCTCTCTCTCTCTCTCTCTCTGTCCCTCCCGTTTGTGCGCGCTCTCTCTCTAAGTAAATAAATAAACCTAAAAACAATTGCTCTGCATGGATATATCATAATTTTATTTAACTATTCCCCTCTGATTGGACATACAGGTTATTTTTTAGTTTTATCCTATTACAAGCAATGCTGTCAAGAATATCCTTATATTGGGGCGCCTGGGTGGCGCAGTCGGTTAAGCGTCCGACTTCAGCCAGGTCACGATCTTGCGGTCCATGAGTTCGAGCCCCGCGTCAGGCTCTGGGCTGATGGCTCGGAGCCTGGAGCCTGTTTCCAATTCTGTGTCTCCCTCTCTCTCTGCCCCTCCCCCGTTCATGCTCTGTCTCTCTCTGTCCCAAAAATAAATAAATGTTGAAAAAAAAAATTAAAAAAAAAAAAAAGAATATCCTTATATTTATGTAATTCTTTAGGACATATTTCTGGAAGTAGAATTGCTAGAATTCCTATTTTAAATTATGATAGGGCACCTGGGTAGCTTAGTCGGTTGAGCATCCGACTTTGGCTCAGGTCATGATCTCGTGGTTTGTGAGTTTGAGCCCCAAGCCGGGCTCGTTGCTGTCAGTGCAGAGCCCGCTTCAGATCCTCTGTTCCCCCTCTCTCTTCCCCTCCCCTGCTTGTGTTCACTCTCTCAAAAATAAACATTTGAAAATACTATGATAAACATTGGCAAACTACTTTCCAAAAAGGTTAACGATTCTACACGTCCACCAATGCGTGTTCCACTGCTTATCTCTTTGTGCCTTTGCCAACAATCCAACAACGGATATTTTTAGTCATTGCCGATCTTATGTGACAAGTGAGGTCTCACTTTTGTTATTATTATTAGTAAGTAGGCTTCACCCCCATCTCAGAGCCCAACATGGGGCTCAAACTCACGACTCTGAGATCAAGACCTGAGCTGAGGTCGAGTTGAACTCTTAATCGACTGAGCCACCCCGTATCCTATCAGGTGCCCCGAGGTATCATTTAAATGCTATTTGTGAGGTGGGA